CCTCCAGGAAATAGTTAGCCCCCAGACCAAGCTCAAGGCGATGCAGATAGTCGCGTCGCTCGCATAGTTAATCCAATCCACCACTTCCGCCCCCATACCTCCCTGGTGCGCTGGAAGGAGCCATCTGGGGAGCGCTGACGGGGGGCGCCTGTAGTTCCTCTTCCTGGGCGCCATTCCCCTGGCAGAGAGCAACCGAGATTGCCTGGCCGCCTCGGCTGGTCGCCCGAGCCTAAGATTGCAGTTCAGCTCGTCAGTCGCATCAGACCGCCACTGCATGAGATGCCGTCGACGCCGCGAGCGCAAGCTCACAGGAAAGAGCTTGCATATTCAAAAAGATATCCTCGACTGCGCGATCACTGCAAGCCGATGGGGGAGCCCGTCGGAGACTGCGTTGCCGAGCAAGAACTTCCAGCGTCGCCTTGGCGCACTGTGGATAACCATCGCTACGCGAAACCCGCGCGGCAAAACGCTGATCTGCAACTGCGCGTATTGCGTCAACGAAAGTGCCCCATTCAGGATTCGAAGTCAGTTCATCTTGGCGCTGTTGGTGCCGAGCTTCATGATCCGGATTAATTTTTCTTCCAACTCATTGGGAAATGCTGCCCTGTTGGTTCCAGTCCGCAAGCGGTCATCTGCGCGTCGTGATCCCATCTTTTGAGCTGGCCCTCCCGCCGCGGAGGGGCGCGCCGCGAGCGCCGGCGCTCTCTCCTCTCTTCCCCACGTCGTCGGCGCGCTGGGGCCCTGCGGCCCCGGCGCGGGGGGCGGCGCGCGACGCGCGCCCAGCCTGCTGCCATCCATCCCCGCCCTCCTTCCCAGACCCGCGACGCCGTGAGTTGTTCGCGACGTCGACCCCCGAAAGTCTCGCCCCTTTCCCCGGGGCTGGAGACTCTCTCTGCCCCGGCGGCCCCGCGGCCCGCAAGTGGCCCCCAATGGCGACCCCCCCCCGTCGCGTTCTGTTCGTTGTTGCATGTGTATATATATATATGTGCATATATATATACACACAACTGCATATAGAAAAACCCGGGTACCCTGCGTCGCGCCCCAACCCCCAGCCCTCGCACTCGCCCTCGCCACGCTGGCACTCGGGGCGGGGGGTCTTCTCGCCGGAACGGGGACCTCGGTGAGGCCACGTCTGCATTATGATTTCAAGGCCCAAGGGTTCCCCCCCTCCCTTGCCCCCCCCCCCCCGGCGCGCGGGCCCGACCCGCCCGCGCCCGCCCGCGGGGGGCGCGCGGGCTGGGAGGCGCGCTGGAGGGGCGCAGCCGCGCCCCCCCCCCACCGCACGGGCGGCGCCCTCCCGGCGCCCCCGCGGATCTTCCGTCGCAGAGACCGCGCGGATCGGGCAGGCGTCAGCGGGGGCCTTCCTGGCGCCTGCTAGCTCCAGAAGCACCCCCGCAGGGAACTTTCAGAAATATGTCCCCATCCCCCTTTTGGGGCGCCCCCCATCGGCGCCCGCCCGAATGGGGTCGCGCGCGCGCGCGCCCCGCCATCCGTCGCGCATGCTCGAGCAGGCAGAGGTCCCGGAGCAGGCTCGAGAGACGCGCGCCGCGGGTCGGGCCCGAGATCGACTTCGATTTTTTCGTCGCTTGGGAACGCTGTCTTCGCCAGAGCCCTCGGCGCCCGTCTCGCGCGCCCGGGCGAGCAGCGGGCGCTGGGCCAGGCTGTTGCCTTGGACTTGCGCCGCGCTTCGCGCCCAATATTGGGCTCGACATCCCCTGTCCGGGGGCGCGGTCTGCGCCGGAGCCCGCGGCGCCCATCTCGCTGGCCCAGGCCTGCACCGGTTCCAGAAGCAGGCCTTTGCCCTGGACTTGCGCCGCGCTTCGTGCCCGATATCAAGCTTGGCGCCTTGCGTCTGGGGGCGCGGTCTGCGCCTGCCCTCGGCGCCCGTCTCGCGAGCCCTGGCCAACAAGGGGTCCTGGGGCAGGGTGCAACCTTGGACTTGCGCCGCGCTTCGCGCCCAGCATTCCCAGAGCATCCTTTCCGACAAAATTATAGCAGACGACCTGAGAAATGACAGATCCGGAATAAAGAACGCAGAAATGACAGATCCGCTATAAATAATTCAGATTCCCGAATTATAATTCAGAAAGGTACATAATTCAGCACAGATAATAGCAGACCCCGCGAATACAATTTCAGATTCTGCAATTCCACATCCTGGAATTAATGAGCCACGAACCCGCAGAGATCACATGACAGAGCATAACATAACATAACATAATATATGAATGTACCCTATCATAGCTAGCACACACAGCGCCTTTTCGCGCCATATCATAGCTGGAGATAACATATATATATATATAAGTATATATGTATCGTATCATATCATAAGATGTCATAGTGTATGTTAGCCTCGTAGTATAAGATAACATACCATATCATATCACACAATAGCATAGTATAGTATGGCATAGCATAGCATAGTGTTGCTTGCTAGGCAGCAGTGTGCAGTCCGCGTGCGCGTAGGGGACGTGACGATTGCCACGATTCGACATGAAATCCGTGGTGAAACCTGGTGAAAGTCGTGATTGTTGTCGCGACCGTGCTCTGATACGTGTCGATGCTACCGCCACGAGCGAGCGTGCAGGAGCACTGTGCGACTCCCAGTTGCGCAGTCGGCTGCAGGAGGACGAGGAGGAGGAGGAGGAGGAAGGAGGAGGAGGAGGAGGAGGAGAAAGTGGAGGGGACGGAGGAGGAGGAGGAGGAGGAGGAGGAGGAGGAGGATCCAAACACTCGGGATTGCGAGCCAGCAAAGCGATCGTGCAGGCCGCCTGCGGTTACGGCCGCTACGGGAACAGAGCACAAGGGGTCGCCACGTCTAGCGAGATGACGCGAGACAATGCTTCATGGGCGTGGGAGGGGAGCTCGAGGGAGGGGAGGGGAGAGGGAGGGAGAGGGGAGGGGGGAAAGATGGGGGAGGGGAAAGAGGACGATGAGGATCGATGGCCCGAAGTTGAGGTGTGTCTCTGCGCTGACTTTTTTCAATGCGTTCTTGACTTAGTCCCTCACGAATCCATGGCGCCATTTGTCGATCAGCGTGCGGTGCAATGTCCTAGGGTGCAACGTTTCAGCTAAATCAGCGCACTCACCGATAGTGCTCTCATCGTAGTACTCCCAATGGTCCTCCATGGGGTTGTAAATTCATTAGCCTAGGATTGGAATTCCAGAGGCCTCCGAGATGATCGGAAATCCAAAGGCCTCCAAGATGATCAGAACTTCTGAGACCTCCGAGTCAATGGGAGGGGTGGGCGGACGGAGTAGGAGGAGGAGGAGGAGGGGAGAAGGAGGAATGAGGAGGAGGACGAGGAAGAGGAGGAGGAGGGGGAGGAGGAAGAGGAGGAAGGAGGAGGACTAGGCTTGTGTTGTTTCTATGTGTTTGCTTGCAGCTAGCTATATATTCGACATCCTTGGGGTTGTCGGGGCACACCTCTTCGCAAATATGGGTGAATAGGTGGTGCTTCGGTTTGATCTTCCAGAGGTGCCACTCCCACGAAGCGAGATGCAACTGACGATGCAGCATCAGATGGCGCCGTGCATACACTGCCAAATGATCACGACCCTCCGTGTACAGCTCTTTGTATACCAGGTCCAAGTACCGAACACAATTGAACCTCGAGGGGCAGCGGGCAACAGCTTGAAACAACAAAAAACGTGCTCAAACATATCACCATTATTATTGCACCCAGAGAACCTAGTGCGCTCATGCGGTGAGTCCAACGGCAAGAGATGCTCGAGCATGTACGCAACCACTGGAACCAAGTGGCGGCCTTCAGCCGCCTTTGTTTTCAGCCGCGGCGCTTTCCCCTCGGCCCTGATCATGCCGATGGTCAGGTTCCGAATCGGGGGCTGCATGTTAAGACAATGTGATGCCATAATAATCATTTTGGCGATTATGCCCAGGGCCTCTGGTCGCACCGTTCTAGCCCTTCCGATCCCCCCCCCCCCCCCCCCCATCATCTCTGCAAGGGGGGGGGGGGGGGGGGGGGGGGCAGGGATGGGAGACGCAGAACGGCGCCTAAGACGTTTTACACCACCCCATCCCCAGACGCCTTGGTGGGCGATGATCGCGTTCCCCCCAGATGCCGAAACACTTCCCAGAGGACGTTGCCCAATAAGTCCTGGACGACCCCGGGACACCCAGCGTGCATCAGCCCAGGGCGAATGTACAGCCATGAAAATCCTGGGACTTGCAGCGGGTGGAGGCAGATATTGCGTGGATCGTTCAATATGTTGTTTAAGTACTGCTCTGGCGTGAACATTAGCGAGCGCCACGGTGCTTGCAAAGAGAACTCCGACATCTGCTCTGTCGTGCAGGGGCATCGCCAACAAATCATCGCCCCCCTCCCAAGTTGCCACCCTTGGATACCGCATACGCTTTTGTGCCACTCCCAGTCCCCCCTGTAATCGATCAAGCAACCTCGAGCTCGCATGCGCGAGCCTGCCTTGGACGCTCGCCACTTGTCCCCTCTGAGGGTGGACCCAGAGAAAAGCCTGCCATCATGGCGCCGATCGGGCCATCGGCCGAGCATGAAGTTGGTGAATATCCAGCCCAAGACCTTCCAGACCTTGGGTGGCAAAGCAAGCGACTGTACCGATGAGAAAAACAAGGGGAGGGGTATAGCAGGGGTGGCATGTCCCCTCAGCGAGGCCCAGGACAATTCTGAAGGGCGTTGCCACTCCTGCTCACCCCACCCCCAGTGTCATTGTCAGCCCAGAGCACCTCCTTAAAAGTACAGCGGCCTCTGCATCCGCATTTGCAGATGCTCCTCTTGCCGAAGGCCACCAGCCAATGTCGCTCACGATGCCTGCAGAACGTCTGAACACGGAGACGGGAAAAAAACTGCTAGGAAGAGAGAGGCGAGGGTAAAGCAAAACAAAACGCAGCGATGCTCCATCGGTGATCTTGCCATCCCCCTGCCATGTGCCCCCCCCCCCCCCCCTCCTTCCCATTACAATTGGAAGCATTGGAGCTGCAAGGGCTAAAAAAAAAACGCCCTGCCACTAATCACGGTCAACGTCCATAGGACGATCGGGTCCCTGGCGTTGTATGGGGCTCCATCGCCCCACAAGCCCACGGCCATCATATTGCTGGCGTCCGCCATGTTCACCCTCCTGGCCCAGTTCGCGACTTCCTCTTTGATGCCTTGCTGGGAGTCGGCATACGTGGTCCACTCCGACTCCATACCCTCGGGAATCGTGGCCGCAAGGACCTCATAGAGCACCATGAAGTTAACCAGACCAGAAACTTGTTTGCCCAGGCGTCTATCCCACAATGGCACCCTTGCTTGGTAGGGAGGCGGGTGGGTGCATCGTCTTTCTAAGTTTCGACTTAAGTCTCGATGCGCATTGCCCTTGGTGGTTGGCTTCTGACCAAGCTTCTTGAGCTTATGCGTGGTAGGGCAATCCGACCTATCAGAAACAGCGGCTCGGGCTCCCCCCCCAACCTCTGATGCAGAAATGCGACCGCTTTGCCACAACTTGCGGATCCATTTTGCGTTGGCACCTGCTGATGTAGTCTGTTCGTTACCAAACAGGCGTTGTCGAACGCCTGGCATATTGAATATGTATGCCAGCCAAAAATGGCTACGATGCGGGTGATGAGGAATTCGGGGGAACGGTGATTTGGGTTTAGGGCGTGGCGTGCCAGAGAGCTACATGTTTGGCTGGTACTTCAGGGCTCCATGCGGCCTACTTCTGACGGGGTGTCTGGAGATTTCTAGCGTAAGTTCACGGGGTGTCAGGTGGCTCCTGTCGGAGAGAATCCAGGTCATGCAATTTGGGCGTCTCTCTAGTAGGTGTTGTGTACTTCAGGGGGTAGGTGAAAGGCAAACGCGTTTCTTATTGCATGTGGTTGGTTTCTTTCTTTGTTGTATTCTCGATTTCGCAGTCTAGACCTCTTGGGGGGGCTGGTCTTAAGTCCCCCTCGTTGGGTTCCCAAGCTTGCGTTCTACAGAGCCCCTGGGGTCCTCAGCATCCTCATCATCGTTCTCCTCCTCCTCTTTCTCCTCCTCCTCCTCCTCCTCCTCCTCCTCCTCCTCTGCCTCCTCGTTCTCCTCCTCTGTCCCCTCCTCCTAGGTTTTAGTGTTTGTTCGCGCCTCCTCATCCTGCTCCTCCCCCTATTCCCCCTCCTACCCCTTCCCTTTCTCCTGGACCTCCTCCGCGATGTCCCTCGGGGCTCTCGGGGCATCTCATGGTTTCTTGCGCAACCTCGCGGCGTTGTTGCCGCGCCCCGCTCCGCTCACGCCAGAGCGGAACCCTCGTGCGCAAAGTGCGCACGGCGGCGCGCGCCGCCAAAAGGTAGCGCTGCGAGGTGTCCATCAGGCCTCCTCGGTCGGCGCATTCGCATGCCCCTTCATGTCGTTCCACACAGTCTTATCGAACAGCTTCCAGGCCCTCTCGAGCTCATCGAAGGTCTCCTTCGTCGTCTTCAAGTCAGCGCTGCATTCCTCCACCGAGAGACCCTGGCCTTTGGGCTGCTTGGCCAAGGTCTTTGCGATGAACTCCGTGATCGAAGTCAGCATCTGGATAGATTTGTTCTGGACGAAAGCCGCTGTCTCCTTGGGGTGCTGCTTCTGGATCAGCGCTTCCACGACCTTCGGGCGTTCGATCTCGCACACCTTCCGCCAGTTATAGACTTTGGAACTCATCTCCCTGTAATGCTTGTCGAGCGCGGACTTGGCATCTGACCGTTTCTTCTCGTCGATCTTGGCCTGCTTAGCCTCCTCGTCGAGACCCTCAATCTGCTTGTCGAAGTCCGCCTGAGCTTTGCTCTCCTGTTCGAGCCTAGCTATTTCCTTCTCCGCCTTGGTCATCTTCTTCTTGGGGTTGGAGCTGGACGAGGGAGCGCCGAAAGAAGCCTGGAAGTCTTCATCAAGCCCCTGCATCATGTTCTTCTGCACCCGCTTGAAGTCCTCGACGGCAATATCGGTCGACGTCTCAAGCTCCGTACTGTGAGTAGTCGTGTCCGTCGAGGTGCCGACGGCGTCCCTGAAGACATGATATTCGAGGACGCCCAGGTCGCGGAGCGCCTTGCTCCTCGAATGCGGCCTGCCCTCTAGTTCCGTGACGATCGCCGCAGCGTGTGCGGCGCTGTTGAGCCACAGCGGGCCCGCCAGCTCGGCTTCCGTGAGCCACGCGTCTTCCACTCCATCTCGTCGCTGGCGCTTCACTGAGGTACTGCTCTCGGCGATACATCCACCTTCAGATGGGTTCAAGGTAAAGCGCATAAGCCAATCGATCTTGGCTTTGTCGTTGCCCTTCGTCTGATCATGGTACTCCTTGAATGCTTGCGGCTTGTTTGTCTTGGGGTAGTACGACATCGCTGAGAAGGGCCCATTCTTTTCTGCTGCTGACATTCCACCGATCAGGGTCGCAAGCTTGTCGGGGTCGTTGTCAGCCTTATCTATGAGATCCTTCAGCGCCTTCGGGAGCTTCTTAGTCACGTTTGGCCCGCTCTCGTGGGCCTCTGCGTTCTCATGCTTGATCGGTGCCATCTTCTTCCCCTTGGCCATGGCGCTCAGGGTTCAGAACGTCGGATCGGCGAGTGGCGAACTTCGGCTCGACGCGAAATGGCTACGGACGGGCTGCGACATCAGCGGCCTCGGGGGCCATATCTCGACGACGTTAGGGGCGACGGGTCCAGCGCGTCGGCAACGGGGGCCTGGGGAGCGGGTCAGAAGGGGGATCGCAGATCTCGATCTGCTTCCCCGTGCCTTCTGACCTACCCCACCTACGCTCCCGCGACCGCCGTAGCTGACCCGAACCCCATCTGGAAAGACACGTTCGACCCCAGGGGTTGCACCAACGATCCACAATGATTTGAGGTAGGAAGCAGCGCCCGCGCGCTGCGGAAGTTCCTCTTTGGAGGACCCCGCGGAAAGCGCAAGGGCGGGGTGGGAGGAGGAGGGGAAGGAGGTGGAGGAGGATGAGGGGGAGGAGGAGGAGGAGGAGAAGGAGAAGGAGAAGGAGGAGAAGCTGGAGGAGGAGGGGGGAGGGGGAAGAGGAGGAGGAGGAGGAGGAGGAGGAGGAGGAGGAGGAGGAGGGGGAGAGGGAAGAGGAGGCTAAGAAGGTGGAGGAGGAGGAGGAGGAGGAGGAGGAGGAGGAGGAGGAGGAGAGAGTTTGGAGGAGGAGGAAGAGGAGGAGGAGGAGAAGGATGA